TCAAAGACTCATCTCTAAAAAGGACTGATTGCCATTGGGTTAGTTCGTTTTAATTTTCAGCTTGCCATACGAGGTGCGATCGGAAAGTTTCCAGACTGCGTCTATAAAAACCCGTACACTTATCTCAGGTATTAAATTCATCCATCACCCTCGAAGTAGTTCCCCTGGGAGTAAACACAACGATCCCAGCGCCGCTGCCAAGCCTGGAAGCATCCCTGGAAATCTTTCTTTGTCAGCCTGTCAAGCACCATCTGCGATTCTGCCTGAATCTCTTCTATCGTCTCAAATCTCCTTCCCTTTAGCTGAATTTTCATCTTTGAGAAGAGGAAACCTTAGAAAGGAAGTTGGGGTCGGTTCTTGCAAGATCTTTGACCTCCTGACAAACGAGAAGTCGATTCTGCTTCTGGTCCTCAGACAGGAGCCTTGGCACAAACTTGGCCGAGATGCGTCGCATGTGGAGTTCTTCCTTTAGAATCAGCTGACAGGTCCCATAGCCTATCCCAACAATGTCGCACAAGTCGTCGATGGTACGACGTCGATCTTCGTGAAGGGCCTGCCGAATCTTCGTAACATTTTCGAGCGTTGTGCTCGAAGATGGTCGTCCAGAACGCTCGTCATCATCGACAGAGGTTCGGCCATTTTTAAAACGTGAATGCCACACAAAAGTTTGTGCACGACCCATTGCGGACTCCCCAAATGCTTGCTTTAGCATTTCACAGCCCCCTAGCGGCAGAAGCTCGTACTACATCTGGTTCGCCCTCTATTGACACAGTCTTGAAACTTTTCGATCGCACCTCGTATACATATGTAAGTGGTACTTCACTTCTTCGAGTTTCCTTCTTATGTGGAAAATGTCATACATGTTCAACAGTTCTGCCCATTGGATAACTATTTGATACCGAACGTTGCAATAGCCTGGTTAATCCTCCCGTTTCGTATTCCAGAGATCCCCCGTTCAAATCTCGGCTTGGAGACTGGCTATCCTGACTGTTCGTGGTTTTCTTCAGTTTCTTAGAGAAAATTATTACTCATATGAAAAACTATTGCAATTTTAGATGATAGAAAATTGGGCTATATATATTCAGGGTGAGTCAGAAGTATGTTTACAAACTTGTGTGCGTGTTCCAGGATCAAAAATAAGAAAAAATGTTCCTATGAACATGGGATCGCAAATGCATCGTTTTCGAAATAATAGCCCAAAATAATTTTCAATGTTTGCCTTTACTGCCAAGTATAAGGACAGGGACGTTTCTTTATAACAGATGCTCAAAGGTTGTTCCTCCAATCTCCACACATGCACGAGCACGACGTACACAAGACTCACGAATTCGTTCGTACACTCGAGGGTTTCCTCGAATCATCTGGCATGCATTCTGCACTCGTTCCCAAAGGTCGTCTTCATTGTTTGTGGGTGTTGCATAAACGACGGACTTCAAGTCACCCCACAGATAAAAGTCCAATGGAGTCAGGTCCGGTGACCTCGGTGGCCATGCTACTGGGCCACCACGCCCAATCCATCGCTGAGGGTACTGTTCATTGAGATGACATCTGACGCGACGGGAGAAGTGTGCTGGGCTCTGTCGTGCATAAACCACATTCGTCTTCTTGTATTCAGTGGTACCCCACAGATAAAAGTCCAATGGAGTCAGGTCCGGTGACCTCGGTGGCCATGCTACTGGGCCACCACGCCCAATCCATCGCTGAGGGTACTGTTCATTGAGATGACATCTGACGCGACGGGAGAAGTGTGCTGGGCTCTGTCGTGCATAAACCACATTCGTCTTCTTGTGTTCAGTGGTGCATCTTCAAGGAGACGTGGCAAGTGTCTTCTTAAGAATCACCGATGTGAAGGTCCTCTTAGACGCCATGGAAGCATGTGTGGACCAATAAGCATTTCGTAAACAATTCCTGCTCAAACGTTAATTTAAAATCTTTGCTGGAAGCTGGATTCACTTTGATATTAAGTCAATTCATTGAAACTTATTTTTGGCTATTATTTCGAAAAATGAAACATTTGCGATCCCATGTTCATAGGAACATTTTGTCTTATTCTTGATTCTGGAACACGCACACAAAGTTTATAAACATACTTCTGACTCACTCAGTCTCACAATACAGGTTTGGTTGTTACGCTATTCAAATTAATCGTATCCTGGCGTAACATACTGTGTATTTCAAAATTAAGAATTTAAGACACTCTCATTTGAAAACTAAATCTGCAAATAATAAAGCATTCCCTGTGACTTCATTGTCTTTGATGAATGCATCTGCCCTGTTCAGATATGCCATATATTATTTGTCAGCAGTGTCCATATTTGTTCTTTACAGTTATAATTTTATTAGCAAATGACATAAAATAGTGTATAATATCTGTTAAACCATACATATACTTCTTGAACAAGTGACATGTGCAATATCAGTTGGGGTTAGTGAAATATAATAACAATTATTATAATATTTATACTTCAATGTTCATGTAGCTGAAGCAGTTGTGAGAATGGAGGCCATACCTCGAACCTAAATACACTCCAAAGTTTATTTACTGTATGATCCTGTGCAAACCTCAAAGATGTATGGAGGTATATCTCCGCTCATTCTTAACCTCAAACCGACTAGTCAATGCGCGATCAAAGTGCTTAATGCAAAGTAAATAGTTCCTGGTACGCATCAGATAGGTGACTATTTCCTTCCATGGGCTGGCCACTTTCAAGAGACTGCAAGTCTTAATTTCCCCACCCTCAAAGTAAATCAGAAGATTCATGTTCATACATTACCTCTTCATGCAACAAACACTTATAAATGCAGTATAAAGTTCTCACAGTGGTGAAGATTTTGGGTTATAACACCGAATGGACTGTGGGTAGACAAAGGGCCGGTTTAACTACTAGGCACTACGCAGTAGCCTATGGCGGAAAAATTGGGGGGGCAAGAGACTGAATGAATAAAAATAAATAAAGAAAGAGAAATGGCGTAAAATACAATACCCGTCGGAAAATAGGAGAAAACAGAAGGAAAGAATAAATGTTTGTTCGCCTTCCGGCTTTATAATATGCCGCCAACAATACTTGCTATCATGCACAAATGTTTGATGTGTGTACAGTAGGGACCAGGTTACTTGCTAGCTGAGCTTTCTATTGCTGTGGATAGTTGCACTCGGCACGGCCTGGTCGGCGCACGGAACGGCGAGGTAGAACGGTTAGAAAAAGCGTGAAGATGCGCGCGCATTGCTTATCACATCGCTATTCACCCTCGCGCCAAGAACTAGCGAGTAGTCTGGTCCTTACTATAGTGAAGTCGACAATGTGAACCGGTCAGCATATTTCCTGACAGACACAGGTCGTGTCGTGATGGTGTCCTACGTGAGCGATTAAATGCGAGCGGTGCGAGTTGCGTGGGTGAAGCGGAAATATCAAACTGACTGTTTGTGTGGCGCTGTCCTATGTTACAGCGAATCAGTCGCCGGCCAAAGCCGAGATCAAATATTTTGATATTTCCGCGCAGGTCGCTGCGCTGGCCAGTAAGGCGCATGCGCAAGGAAACTCTGACTGTGCAGTACAGGGAATGGGCATGCGCAGGAAGGCCGTGTGTTTCTCTCACGTAGGACGCAACTAGCGATTCCCTTATGTCATATGACACCCCATGCTGCTTATGCAGCTCGCACAGCTCGCTTCTTATCGCTCACGTAGGACATTGCCTAAAAGTCTACCATCAGTTGCGAGACAGATCTTGTATTAATACAATCGGTTTTACTCCCATTCGTTATATAGTGTTTTTTTTGTAACCGCCTCTTGCAAAAAGTGATAAGTAAATTCCTTCTTTATTGCTGAAAAGAAAGTTTTCAGTTACAGCAAAGTGGACGCGCGTGCATTATTTAAAACTTTTATGTAATTACGATTAAATTCTGAGATTAAACTGCACTGTAGAAATTCAAGGAAAAACTCTACCAAGCATCCCTGAGGCCCGACCAATGTAGAAACATCTTCCGGCATCACGACAAACCGAAAACAAATTCTGGGAACAATATCGCAAACGAAATGCTGAAAATAAAAAAAGAACAAACGACGCAAGGAAGTTCCATTCCGAATAAAATCATGTAAATTCTAATGATTTTTTAGTAAATATTTTGTATAACGTGTAGAACAATGACAATGTACATTCAGTAACAAACAATCTCTTTTATTACATAAAATAATGTTTAAATTATAAATTTGTTCATACAAATACACAATATTAATTTTCGAAAGTTAATTGTGGGGGGGGGGGAGGCGAAAGCTAAAGTTTCGTCTTGGGGCGCCATAAACCCTTAGGTAGATAACAATGTTTTGGAGAAACACACTGTTTCCATGTACTTACAAGTCTACACGGCATTATAACCCATAAGATCAACATCGACACATGCACACATACAAATTGTGATAACCATTCAGGCAATAGATTTCACAGATGATGTTCTCTGTACTACTGTGTACATGAGAAGTTGGAAATTAAGAAAAACAAATAATTTCTTTTAAAATTATGGCCTGACAAGCAATTTAGTAGCATGTCTGAACAAGTCGGACATTATGTCACACCTTTGTTACTAGTTTATGCCAGTTGGAGATGGTTAGACGCGTAGCAGCTTTTTTTTGATGGGAATCAAATAAAACTAAAAAAATGTATGATTTACGTAACGACTGAAGTTCAAATAAGAGGTCATATCTTCATTGAAACTAACATTAATTTAAACAAGAGTGGAGATGGGCAGCAAATGTTTCCTGTATATATATATTTTTTAAGTTTTACATGTCTCATTGGCTTTTATTTTGTAAATAAACAGAAAATGTTTCCTGTATATATATTTTTTTTTAAGTTTTATACGTCTCATTGGCTTTTATTTTGTAAATAACTCACACCAAGAGGGAAATATAGATCAGAATTCGAAGCAAGGAGACCTTTATTGCGCCACTAGATATGTACATTACAAAGTAAACTGTTTAAGAGATATAATTGTGATAACTTACTTGGGTCATGAAAGGGGACTAGGACGTAGTTGTAGATAGGTTTGTCCGGGCGTTCCAGCATAGCGGCCATAATCCTCTCAGCACCCATTTTCACTTGCACCAAATCATCCCACATAGAACCTGTTGAATCAAACACAAAGGCCAACGTAGACCCACTGTGCGTTTCTTCATCGTCAGTTTCACGAATTTCATGAGGCGATATTTCCACACCGAAAGTAATATCACTCTCTTCATGATTTTCTGATCCTGTTTCGTCACCACTGCGATGCTGACTGTCAATAGTATTAACTTTATGTTTATCCAAGGAAGGAAGTCGATTTAAAACAAGTTCTTCAATGTGTTGAGCTAAAGTTTTGTTCTGGTTAACCCCATCAATAACATTTGTCTCGGGTTTACGTGGATAATGATACACCTCAAAAGCATTATGCAATTCGAAAATATCGTTACTGTTCGTATTATTATCTGGTGTGATATGTTCGGTATCTGAACCGGAGACTTGTATATTAGACACAAGAGATTTTTCTGCACGTTCTTCACTGTCTGCCTGATAATTGAAATATTGATTTTGTTCACTGTCAACTGTATCGTTAACTGAGATATTGAACACTTTGTCAAAAGGTTCTTCACTATCAAATGAATTATTGTGATATTGGGAAGCAGGTGAATCTGATTGGTCTTCGGGAACTTCGATAGGCTCATTCATTGCTTTACTTTGGATTTCGCTTTTGTTGTAATTCTCCAAATTAACATCTTGAATCTCGTTTACATCAGAATTATTTTGAAATCCATCGTTAAGAAGCTGATTAAAACTATGTTCATCAAGAGGTTGTTCTGAACTGTGTTCCCTAATATTATCATTGTCACTGCGCGAATATATGTTGTCTTTAACCTCTTTTGTTACACTAACATTATCAGCATTAACAGACACATCAGTTGTGTATCGTTGTGGAGCTACGTGACTTGGCGTTGATGGATAAATGTTACTGAAACTAGCACTGTCATCTACAGTGTGATTTATGTCCAGAGGATGATCAAATTCCAACATAGAGCTAGAATTTTGATCGCTGTGCTGCTGAATAAATTCACTTTCGTCGTCAGTACCGTTTATTGGTGATGAATTTGCTTTTGGACTGGCTTCAATGTTGTCTTCTGAAAATAGCTGTAATTCACTAACACTTTGTAAAGTTCTTAACTGCTCAGTTGATGAAAGAGTTTTATTGCTAAAAAATTGTTTTTGTTGATCACTCGATTCGTTTGAACTTGAAAGCGAGTCTTCAGTTTCATTTGTTTCTGTTTGATTGTTTGTTACTTCATCGCTGCTTGTCATTTCTCCTGAACCTCCTTCACTTTCACCAAACATTTCCACTGACTGAGACAAATCTGTCTGTAAGCTGACACTATCTGAGCTGTGAATCATTACGAGTAAAAGCAATAATGGAATAGAAATATGAGCTACTTTCTGCTGTCCCATATTGGCTGACTGATGCTTTAGCACTGAAGACAGATGAGCAGCGTTCTGCGAGCGAGTCTAACGATAACTAGGGTCGCCCTTCAACTGTCGCAAATTCACTCCTCTCCATTCTGTCGTTTTTCTTACCCCATACTCTCCGCCATCTGGCGTGCCAAAGAATTCAGACGTTCATTTTCTAAAATCGGTGGTAGTTTTTTATTTATTGTACGACTGGAAAGATTTATTCCGTAGCGGGTCTTTGCATTCTGAATGCTGACGCAAGTAATGTACAATATTACAAATATAACATGTAAGCGTTATTATCAGTATTTCTCACACAAGCGTTGCACTACATAACAGACGTTAAAACGTAAGTATATCTTTACGTTTGATTTATTCGTTAACAGTTATTCTCATAAGAAACTAGAGTGAATTTTGGTCCAGTTTAAGAAATTTTTATCACTGTTATCTCTAAAATGCACGGACATGCATTAACTTTTTCTGCAGATTCATTTGTTTATCGGATACTGACTGTTGAGATGACAACATGGTTTAAAACAGAGTGCTTTGAATTTGTTTCCATGAACATTAAAAACGTCTTAATAAACCCAGTGTATAGCATATTATATTTGTTGATATGTTTCTTAGCCGTTGAGCTTAAAAAAAATTATGAGTATCTTAAACAACTTTAATTTATAAATTTACAAATCGCGTGCTCCTAACACCTCATTTAAGAAATTCAAATCCACGACAATAAAACACAGTAAGAGTTAAATGTATGGTACGGTGGTCTAGCGGTTAGAACACTGGCCTTGTAATCCTGGGGTCTCGGGTTCGATTCCCGGCGGTGCCCGAATTTATAACTTGTGTTGGGCAAGGCCGTGGTCCAGGTATCACGGAGTTTTCCTCCGGGGGCTTCCCCGATTTCTCCGTGGCATCCCAACAATTACTCCATTCACACACAGAAGAAGGCAATGGCAAACCACTTCTGGATCATCTGCCAAGAACGTATATGAACAGGTCCCAGTCCGAGAAAAGGATGGAAGGATCCTGTTCATATGGACCTGTCGTCAGACAGAACACTAAAAAGAAGTGTATTGGACTCGTTCGCAAGTCATCATGGGAATTAACTTGGGTCGAGTAAATTTTTTTATTGTTTCACGCAGCTGCCACGTTGTTGCTTTACGGTGTACAAATAATTGCTAATAAAGTTTCGTATTTCTTTCTAATATCTGTAACCATACGTCATTGTATGATCCCATATTTAGTGGTATTAATGTCGCTCCCATCTCATAAGTTCATTCGCTCGCCATTTTTTTTCACTATCGATTGTATTGAATTACAAAGTATGTGTATATGGTCATCTGCAATTGCATAAGTCATACTAAATTTTAAGAAAATCATAATAATCATAAGCCCATCGAAGTCAACAGTAAATTCATGAACCTGTCTACACCAATAAAAAAGTTTCATGCCCAATAAATAGCATTGTCTACCAAAGCAGTAGAAACCTGTTGGCCTTTTCTGCCTTCATAATACGTAGCCACTAGAACTACAAATAATTTTATATTGGTTGCATTCTACGGCAACCTTTCATGTATAAATCCAATTATAAGAACCGTGACACTTCATCTGCGAACGTTAAATCTTACAAAGTGAATCTAAATGTTAAGTCCAAGATCTCTTGACAGTTCAGATGTGTATGATTAATAATACAAAAAAAATCATTTCGTTTAAAATGAGTATGGGAAAACATTGCATAGCTTACGCCGCTAATGATGTGTTAATTAAAACAAAAAGTGAAATATCTTTTCCGGAATGATATTGAAATACATTTCGTTTTTCTGTTTATACCACAACTACGTAGGATTTGAAGTTTTCACAGCAGTAAGTCTGAAGATGGCTGTCTTCTGGGTTGTTGCGCCGTGTAGTCTGGTCGATGTTAACCAACGTTTCAGAGGTCACACTGCCTCCATCATCAGGGCGATGAGTATGAAGATTTCTGTCTTCTGGGTGGTTGCGCTGTGTAGTCTGGTTGATGTTTATCAACATTTCAGAGGTCATACTGCCTCCATCCTCAGGGCGATGAGTATGAAGATTTCTGTCTTCTGGGTGGTTGCGCTGTGTAGTCTGGTTGATGTTTATCAACATTTCAGAGGTCATACTGCCTCCATCCTCAGGGCGATGAGTATGAAGATTTCTGTCTTCTGGGTGGTTGCGCTGTGTAGTCTGGTTGATGTTTATCAACATTTCAGAGGTCATACTGCCTCCATCCTCAGGGCGATGAGTATGAAGATTTCTGTCTTCTGGGTGGTTGCGCTGTGTAGTCTGGTTGATGTTTATCAACATTTCAGAGGTCATACTGCCTCCATCCTCAGGGCGATGAGTATGAAGATTTCTGTCTTCTGGGTGGTTGCGCTGTGTAGTCTGGTTGATGTTTATCAACATTTCAGAGGTCATACTGCCTCCATCCTCAGGGCGATGAGTATGAAGATTTCTGTCTTCTGGGTGGTTGCGCTGTGTAGTCTGGTTGATGTTTATCAACATTTCAGAGGTCATACTGCCTCCATCCTCAGGGCGATGAGTATGAAGATTTCTGTCTTCTGGGTGGTTGCGCTGTGTAGTCTGGTTGATGTTTATCAACATTTCAGAGGTCATACTGCCTCCATCCTCAGGGCGATGAGTATGAAGATTTCTGTCTTCTGGGTGGTTGCGCTGTGTAGTCTGGTTGATGTTTATCAACATTTCAGAGGTCATACTGCCTCCACCATCAGGGTGATGATGGAGGAATACGTTAAGTTAGAAAAAGGTAGTATATTTTCTTGCGTTATTATAATTCGTAGCTAGTACACACACACACACACACACACAGGTTCACCATCGATAATTTTATCTCAAATTTGTAATGTTTTGTCTTCATATGCCTGAATTCTGAGATACAATTATGTGTATGTAAATATATATTTATGACCATGTATAGTTACGTGAAGTGACATTTTATGATGTGCCGTCATGTGTCTGACAAATTATATTGTACAGTGGGTGAAAAAAAGCTTGCTGAATACTGGCATAAACAATTATGAAAGCTGTAGTATACGTAAAACAATGAGTTTTATTCCATTAACGTGTCTCCTTTTACATGTTTGCGCATGTTATTATAAATTTAATATATTCTTCTCATTTTAAAATAATTACCAATGCTGTAAACGTGTAACAAGCCCAATCATTAATTCCATATACACGGGGCTAAGAATATGTTGGGGCTGACGACATTAGATGGATACATATAATTTGCAAATATCAGTACGTTTCATTGGAGTTGGAAAAAAAAATACAATATAATTGGTCTCTGATAATGACGTAGTTCCAATATTTTCTTCCGCAGCGTTTTAAACATTGTTGTCGTAAACATCATTAATATTTTATTTTTTCTTTTCCCCTGGTTCAGACAACAAATCCAGTTCCTTTCTAAGGACATTGACGAATGACGACACTTCATTATTATCAATACCATTCTCTACAGAATTTTCCTCTTCTGACTTATCGTCGTCTATCTGAGATAAGAATTCCACCACAGCCTCAGGAACACCCTCCTTTAGTAGTTCATTCCTGAACTCAGAGACAAACGCCGAAACGAATGTTAGAATAACATCCTTAACCTGCTCTCCCAGTTCTGTTTCTTCGTCACACCAACCGTCCTTCAGGACAATCACATCTAAAACACAAATCAAGCATTACTGGTGTTTTTATTGTATTAGTCTGAAACGATACATCGTACACTTCGATTATCGATTGAGCTAGGTGGCGTGATGGATCGATCAGGGGGTCAAACACTTCTCTCTAGGTTTTAATATGTAGTTTTCAAATACATTGGACGTTGGAAAAGTTTTAGAACGTAAAGAGTTTAATTTTTTGCGACTAAGTTTCAGGTTTTAAGACTTCAGTGTCCACGTACCCTGATGAAGAACATTACTCCGTACGTTCAAATCTTATAATTTAATTAAATCTGCGAATATTTCAATCAAAGAAAGAACTTGCAGTACACACCTTCCCTTAAACGTTAGCATCGGGCGTCTGTATAGAGAGAGCATCAAACAATATAAATTTATAATAACGATTTCTTTTATATGCAAAATAACCAACCACATATACAGCCCTATATACATGGCCCTCCATAAAAATCGTTTGATATGAACTTAAAATCTCGCTCTGTCGCATATTATTATATTGTGCAGATTAATTTCTAAAAAATAACCAAACTTAATTTGCCACAGTCGAGTGATAAAGGTAAAGTTGTGTTTTGTGTTCAATAAGCTCCATGCCATGAAGACGTGGGAGAGCTGAGTATATCTTCAGAAATTCTTAACCTCGAAACTAGATTGTCATCTGACTCTCCTGGAAAAGTGGCAACTGTTGTCCACTGGAATGAAAGTTGAGAGCGTTTCGGAGCATGGCCTTACGTGCTACTGTCGTTCAATATTAATTGCTCTCAAAAGACAACGCTTTCTGTACTTATTTCGTGCTGATGGTTATTTAATATTTTACAGAAAAATTGCAACAGAAGTTGTATATTTTTCGATTTTCCATCGCCACACAAAATGTTATGACGATGGTACTTCTGGAGTTATTGCCAGAGACAGCCGGTTTGACTAACAACTAGGTAATCTAGGTGATCGCCTAGGAAGGAAAAACTGGATGAATAAAAAATTAAAGAGAATTAGCATAGAGCATAATAATAATAAGGTATGAAAGTGTAAAGATAAAGTAGGAAATATTAAATGTCTTCCCTGCCTTGCAATACTCCTCCATCAATACTTCGTATCTTATACACAAATGAGTGACGAGGTGTAATGAAGTCGACAATCATAACGCCTCTTGAATTTCGCCTTCAGTTGTCATCGTCAGTTACACGATCGGTATTTTGCTAACAGATTCTGTTTCGCTTTTGTTCAGTTATTTTATTGTTTCCTTTGTGATTGTCTTCTTTAGAGAATGCATTTATAAACATTAATTGAAAGTAACTTTATTTACTATAAAGAAGGAAGTTTTCCTGTTAAAAATAATTGGAAACACGTGCATTTTATACATTTACGTGATCTGTAGTAACATTATGATTAAATTTTAAATTTAAACTGCACTACAGAAATTCAAGAGAAATGTCTACATGTCCCTTAGGCCTGGCCAATGTAAAATAATTTTTCAGTTTATGTGACGTCATGGCAGAGAGAAATATTCCGGGTATTAGCCTTTCCAAGCTAAAGCTTATCAGAATGCATTTATTCGTTAATGTCGCAAGAAAGACTTAAAATTATCAACTAACGGCCACATGACACACACAAAATGACATGAAAAAAAATTCGTTAATCGAACTAACCAAGGGGTTCTCACCCTTTCCCGCTGGATTACCACTAATTCTAATTTAACACATTAAATGTATCACTAACCAAATGTATTCGAGGGAAACTAATTTATGTTAAAATTATCTTTTAATATCTGGTTGATATTTGCTGAATAATACTTGAAAAATATATTAAAACTCAAATCTCGACACAATGTCGATGTTACGTATTTTTCTGGCGAAAATTTTGTACATTAATGTCTACACTAAACACTGCAATTGTGTTGGAGAACTCACAAGCATGTTCCGCTATTCAAACTAGATGGCACATGTAAAACAAACGTTTAAGAGGTCCTTGCTGCCTCCATTATCAGGGCGATCAACCACTGAAACGTTGGAAAACTTCTACCAGACTACACGGCGCTACAACCCAGAAGACAGCCAACTTCAGACTCACTGCTGTGAAAACCTCAAATCCTACTTAAATAATCTGTCGATTCTTATGAGCAGTCCCACACTCCTTTGAGGTAACTTACAGCTCTCTTACTTAAATACTGTGGGGACTTTGCCACCTGATTTTAGTGACAAATGTAGACAACAATTAAATAATTAACTCGCTACTAAATAAAATTGATTGAAACCACAAAATTAAATATACACTGTGATGCTACATTGCAGGTCCTGGGAAGTTTACCCCGATATACCGTACCCTAAAACTACCCTGGTTTCAAGTTACTGATACGTTGTAGGGGCCACCTGAAGCAGTGCCCTGGGCCGTAGGTTATACCGCGCCTGGTGTGTAGTGAATAATGACAATACTCAGTATTGTGTTTCCTTTATTGTGTAAACTAGCTCTAAAAATAAAAATGCGAGATTTTTATTCGAACTAGTGCACAGTATTCATTTTCGTTAAGTTAGGGGGTTGCAAGGCTGTCGGTTAGCCTAGAGTCTAGGCTAACCAACACAAGGTTATTTAACAGTCTAGGCCCTAACTATCTAACTAAGTAGATGGCTTACCGAACCCGAAGGTTCATCACCGAATTAACCAAAGCCCTCCGCCGGACCCTGTCCTGGGCCAACAAAATCCAGTCTCCTTCAACTCCTATCTCCCATAGATCCTACCTGAGATTATCCTCCGATCTACGTCTAGGTCTACCCAGCGATCTCTTTCCTTCAGGCTTCCCAACCAGTACCCGGTGCATACCTCTTGTCCCATCCATGCGCGCTACATGCCCATCCCATCTCATTCTTCTCGACTTAATCACCCTGACAATATTGGGGGAGGAGTACAGATTTTTAAGCTCATCATTATGCAGTTTTCTCCACGCCCCATCGTCTTCCCTCTTAGGCCCAAATATCCTCCTCAACATCCTATTCTCAAACACCTGCAATCTGTGTACCTCCCTCTGAGTGAGAGACCATGTTTCGCACCCATACAAAACAACAGGCAAAATCATTGTTTTGTATATCTTAATCTTCAGGTTCTTAGAAATCAGACGGGAAGACAAAATATTCTGAACTGAGAAGTAGCAAGCATTTCCGGAATTTAGTCTCCTCCTAACTTCCTCATGAGTGTCATTTTGATTTGTCAGTCTAGGCCCTAGACTGTTAAATAACCTTACGCCGAAACTGACCACAGAAGTTGCCTGCTGGCAATTTCTATTCAATATTTATGTCTTCGCTGAACAAATTAGGCTCATAATAAGAGACCATTAGCTGATGTGTCCGATTTAATTAGAATTCCTCTTCATTTTCTTAGTCTTCTTGACGACGTATTCTTCCTCCAATAATATTTCTTCGTACACTTTATTTATGTTTCTTAATACCTGCTTCCTGTTTCCTACCTCTGTCTTTACACCGATTTCTTTCATATACTTGCAATGTTGTCATTCGTACCTGCGAGACCTTACAATGCCAGCGTCAATATTTCACTTTTCTGTAAATACTATTGAGGGATTCTTCGAAGGCGAACTTCATAAGATACCTTCTGGGGCGACATTATTGCATTAGAGCAGCTGTGTCATAAGCGAATTATTTTCGCTGTCAGCTGTTATCGTGATAATACTACAAAACGCTGAGGTTCGTATTTGGAAGGTCCCAGGATCGGATCTCGGTCTGGAATTGAGTTATATTTTCCGAGATTTGTCATGGCTGCCCTCATTGTCTCCAGGAGACTGTTAAAACTTAACTTAAAATGTGTTACGACCACTCTTTACCGCGTCCATCACCCATAATCGCCACTTACCTCTGTCGTTGACACAGTTCTCATAACGTAGGTGCTGGCGGCTGACGTACGTGTTTCCGTCTGACCCGCAGACTCGGTGCTGGATTGAGAAGGGTAAGTACGCGATCCTTGAGCAATCTGGGCGCTGTCCGTCCTCGCCCATTGCACCCAGAACCATGAAAACTGTGCACAAAATACAACTACAAGATAACGTCCGACATTTTTCGAATTTCAAGACGATTTCTAAAAGTGAGCTTCAACGGGCTTTCATGAACTCCATCACCTCAGTGTCTTTTTATGGATCAAGAAGATCAACTATTATGTTCTTTCTCACCAATAAACCTTATCTTTTCTCAGTTCAATCTAGTCACCTCCTCGCACTCAATTATCGTAGATACATTTTAATATTATAATCCAATTTCCTCAGGTTATCAGACTTAAATGTTTTACGTATTTTTCATTTCCGCCATACTTTCTTCATGTACCGCCCATCTAATTTCTTGGTATGATCATTCTAAAAACATGAAGAGTACGACTCATGAAGTTCCCTCTGATGTAATTTTCGAGATCACCCTGGTACTTCCTCCCTCGTATGTCCAAATATTCTTCTCGATGTTTTAAACAAACATCATTGATGTGCTTATAGTTTCCAGCCATCGTAACTGACATTAACTTTCTAAATAAATACAATTTTAACGATAAAATTTTATATTACATTTCGTTTATAAATTTGGTAATACACAGAACATGTGAAGTGACTTCCTATAAAAACTATACGTTTGTTTTTATAAAAACAAAAATGTTAACCTACTAAATGAACGATAACTTGTCAGCAAATTCAAAAAATGTAAATGTGCAAGAAACTAAAATAACTACGAATATAAAGACTTAAGTCGTTTGCCAATAAGAGCTAAAAAAGGCAAATATTGTTACCAACAAATTAATAATTACAATAAAAATACACATGAACATAATCAGCTACACTCTACTACCAAAAAGAGGACTTACATACTCCTTTAATGGTTGTATTTTTTTAACTTAAATTAAAATTGCTAGAGCGATTGCACGAAGGAATCTATTGCTCAGTTTCTGTGCAAACTATCACAAAATATCCTAATAGCTATCCTAGTTGTATAAAGCAGTCTAAACAATACTACTGGGGTTATTTAAATGATTATACCGAAAGCCACGTAACATTCAAACAAAATTAAGTCAAAGACCTGAATTAAAAATCAGATTTAAGAAATTGTTCAAATAGTCTCTTTAATTCATTCTCATATTCCCTGCAGCCTATATTTTTTACGAAACAGAGAGTCGAAATGACGGTCCTTAGATAGATATTTTTAATTGTTTGATGTCTACGTTATACATGTTTATTCAAAATACATAGTCTGTCCACACTTACACGTACTGAACAAATAGACCTTCATTGTCAGCTTCCTCTTGTTATCACGACAGAGCAGAAGAGAATGTTGGGCTCAACTACCAACATATGCATCCAGGGACTTATTATATACACCACTGATACGTATTTGAAACTTCCGGTTCTTTGATTATACATATCTGAAGGTCAGTTAAACGTTCATTTTATCACGTCAAGGTGTTAAATATATCATTGTACTGCGTTAAATATGTCATTGACGAAGACCTAATTAAATTGCAACATAAGTTATTCTAATTGAGCAAAACAGAATCTTAAATATTAAAGAATCTAGTGATAATACTTTTGTATGGACTAACATGAAAAATAAAGTTTTGTATCTCAATATACTTTGCTACTATAATATATATTTCCAAAATGTTTAATTGTAAAAATGCCTCCTGTAACAAATGTACCTATCTGTTGTATGAGTAGTCTCATTTGACTCAATTTCAAACTTCAGTTACTTTCTAATATTAATTTTAATTCAATTCTATTGTATTCTCAACACTTACTTGTAAAATTATAAAAAAAATGGCCTGAATATATGTTAATACCAAAATATATCGCAAAAACTAATTTTAAGAATAATTAAATTTGTTGACTCTAATTACTATATAATATATCTTTAAATTTGTTGCAGAGTTATAAGCACATTTTCGACATGCCTGTAGTTTCAACAGTTTCACCCGAAAATTAATTTAAACATAGCAGGGAGATATTTACTTTTTTATATCGTCAAATACGTCTAAAGCAACGTGTCATTCTTTACTTCCAAGCTTATGTCTATTTGTCCATGTAAAATCTTTTGGATCGTACTGAACAAAGAGAGAATGTTGGTAAACAAAGAAATTGCGTCATACGATTAGCTTCTTTGGCAGTTTTACATACCATCGTTGAAAAATAATTTAAAACTATTGTTCAAACCAGTAAAGTTTAAACTGCTTTCACTATCATGATATAGAAGAAAAATTATATTTCAATGCAGTGTGAGAAGACAAAAACTGAAAATCTGATTTCATGCGAGTGATGACGTCAGAAGAAAAGAACTTACCCAGCATGCTCTATTAATTCTGTATGAACAGAGAGTTAGGTTAGGTTACCGAGTCACAGACACACAGGCCTATTATAAATAGAGAATTAAATAATTTCAGTAGATCTCTATAAGAAATCGATCGCTAAGAAGACCGATTCGGATACAAGATAAATAAACTACATTAACGTGACTCTTATGGAAACGGTTTAATCAACTGAATCAGAATTTACTTCATATAATGACGTCAACCTCGTCATATCCGTGTTATGACTTGTAGTTACGGTCTTCGTATCTTGCTATACTATTCCAACGTGATCAAAACAGAGTTAACCTAAAATATAAAATACTTTACCTGCTCTTTCTTTTAGAATAGGGCTTATTCACTAAATTCAGACATCTCCAGAGAATTTATACAGTTATCTCGATGTGTTTCAAACTTCCGTTCCCCCAGTCTTCTTTAATTCTACGACTAGAAAGTTTATACTGTCCTCAGCCTAACTCTGTCATTCAA